CAAGAACTTGTTACAAAATAGTGATAATCTATATATATATATATATATATATAATAATTGAAATGTGACTGTATTTAACAAAATACCAGTCTTTTAAAACACAGCCAAGACAAGTTACTTTGTACAGACCAAAGGTCAATATAATAAAAATAATAAATATATATAAATGCATAATGTTATGAGATATAAGCTATTTAGTCTAAACATTTATGTTTTCATGCTATAATTTTTGTTCATTCTAGAATGAAAGAGGCATAATTTATGTTTATTTCCTAATTTTTTATGGTGGTTGCAAGATTAGTCAAATCTACCGAACCCATACAGAGGTTAATTACTGAAAATAATAGATAAAATATATATAGTTTTTTCTTAAGAAATGTTTAATAACTATTTTGACATTATAAAGATTTCGCATGTGAAATTTGAAAATTTTCTGATGCATAAAGTATTTTAATCTTAAATGAAATTACTTTGCATGATAGATAGAAAGATGTGAAAGAAAAGGCATGAAAATATTGCTTTACAAACCTTAAAACTTAATAAAAAAATTAGATATTTTGCGTATGAAAGCATTGTAATGTTTACTGATAAACTGCCAAATTTCGTTTACATTCGCTTACTGATTTAAAAGTTATAGTATGAAACTATAACAAGCACAAAATGAAAGAAAGTGTGGAATCATATAGGATTTTATTGTGGGTTTTGATGATAATACATTAATTTTGGCTTAACTTTGAGCTAACGTCATAGTGGGCATTACAGATCCTAGTACTTGATTTTAGCCATTGAAAGAAACACATTTTGCTTTAGGTAATATGTTTTCTGTATGATAGGATGGTGCCAGCAAGTAATGCAGAAAGCACTGAGGGTTGACTCACCAGGGAGAATGCTAGAAATATGTAATACTTCTTAAAGTGTACTTACTTAAGGATATAAAAAAAACAATTGTGTGCAAAGTTTAACTTCATACTGTTTCTGAATCATTAATTGTGTGTTATAATAGTTGTCAATCTAATCTGATTAGGCATGTCTAATCACGTGTATATGTACAATTCTTTCTGTTTGAATATCATTTCAGGTTCTACCAAATATAAATATAGAGGGAAGAAAACCAATTACCACACCATCAAATCTGAGGAAAGAAAATGTGAAAGTTGTTCGATTTGTTGAAGTGGTGAGAAGATGATGTTGTTTATTTTGTAATGAATTATTTAATATTTTCTTTGTTAGTGACTGAGATTTATGTATCACTTGCTTGATGCTGCTTTAATGGTACTATGTTTAATAAGTTAATTAGTATTGCAATTTTTTATTTGTAGAGTTTGTGAGTTTTTCAAATGCTGTTTTGAGATTTTAATAAATGATGCAGTACTGTAATAAAGTAGTGAGCTTGTTAGAAAATTATAACTTTCATGCTATCTATTATGATTTTCATAGAAATTGCTGTTATGATTCTACATTTTGTATTTATTGATAGCTTTTTTGTACATTGTTTAGTTTGAGTAGAGTACATAGTATAAGTTGAAAGTTTCATACATTATCGTTTGTTCCTAGCACTTTAACAAAAACTAATATTTCAGAAACAGTGGTTATGTATGCCAAATATTTAAGTATCAACTTTACCTGCCTGAGTATACTTTTATAGGTATGTCATTACAGCCAAGTAGTTGTTAAAGGCTACTTAAATCTTTTGAAGTAGCATGATTTGGTGTGATTTAGTGTTTTATAGGGTGTCATACTAAATACTGGTTTTTTATCTAGAAAGAATATAATAACACTCAGTTTTTGTCTGTCCTGAAAATGCTTGTGCACCTTACTATCTAAATATGCATGTGTGCACACTTCATTCTAACAGATGTAAAGGAAAGGCAGATGTAAATATATCTTAGTACACATTTTATCAACCACATATTAAAAGCGTATCAAATATTTTAAAATGGTATAATGTTAGTGTGTAGACTAACATTATACGTTTGTTTGTTGACAGTATTATGTATGGTAAAGTTTAGCGATAACTAAACTAAAGCAAAAAACTTGCACAAGTTACAGTGTTAATTTATCTCTATTGAATATCAGCCATGTTAGGCCTAAGTCTTATAGATTTTGGTGTCTGCAATTAGATTTATTTTGTATTGTTCTAGAAATCCTTTAAAATATAAAAATGTAACATTTTTTATTAGCATAAAATGACATAAACAATACTTTGAAAATTGGCTTTTAAAAAATCCCGTTAATGCAGCAACATTATATGAAAATTATGATTTGAAAATTTTGTTGGAAAAAAATCTTTTTGTTAAATTTTAACAATACACATACACAAAGAAATGAACATGTATCCATAAGAGTCCCTGTTCGTAGGCCTTATGCCAATACATATAATTGTTTTTGTATATTTCCTTTTATCTTCTTGTTTATATTCATACGTAATAGATGGAAAGACATCCATTTTCCCAAGTGATATTATTCTGCCAGTAGAACGTGTCAAAATTTAACAAAATATATAGAGTTGTATTTCAGGTCACAGTCTTGAAACAAAGGACTTTTGAATTCATATTGGAAAACTGGATTACAAAACTTCTTTGTAAACAAAATTTTCAATATTTACACCTTCAGTGACATAATATTTTAAGTGATTGAATTACTGTACTCTGGATAGAGCTTACCATGAGAAAAAGTGTCTCAGCTAAGTGCAACCCCGACAGACATCCATTTTCCCAAATTATATTATTATAAGATAATGTGAGTTTTCTCTCTTATTTCATTATTTTAAGCTATATCCTGAGTTTGGGCTTGCTTTTAGTGTCCAAAGTTAGGTAAAGCTATGATAGTCCACAGTTATGACCACAATCATTTTAATTGCAGTACCACAACTTCTTACATGCTACTTCCTAAGACAAGCCTAATATTAGACAGATTTATAGTGAACTCCTCTGACATTACTTATACCATGGCAGAGTGGGAAGCAATTTGTTTATTATTATTAAACATGTGTCTTTAAAGTAATTGTTCAGGCTTGATAAAAGTTGATGTTACAAAATATATCATGGTTCAGGGCCACATTAAGTGTCTCAAACATGTGAACTTAGTAGTTTTACCTCAGTTAAGTCAATAGTTATTTATTGTTTTAAAGAATTCAAATTAATAAACTAAATTATCTTTTTTTTTTAACAAAATAAATCAGGATGATAAGCCTTCTGAGATCATCCCTCATGAGCTCTCTGGTTTTCCAAGCTCCTATGTTAACTTGCCCAAATCAGGTTTTCTTAGTCAAGGCCAACAGTCTGTTCAAACTTCTAGTCACAATCTGCAGAGTCATGAGTTACTGAAAAATTATTCAACTTGGAGGTATGTTTAAGATGCCGTGCAAAAAAATTCTAATAAAGGTTTTTAATATAAAAGTCTTTAAAATTTACAGTATTTATTAGTTTATTTTAAAACATGTATAACAAATGTATTAGTGGAGTTATTCATTTACAATAGTTACTTTTGAGTGAAGTGAGATTTTGAGGTTTTTTACAACAACAGTACTTTATTTAATAAAAAATATTTTGTAAATGATGAAGTAAATATTGCATATTATCAAAGACTTAATGTGATCTCTATTTGATGTGTTGTAAGATTAATGAAAGTTCTTGTACGTAATAAATCCAAACTCATGCTTTTTTAATTTAATTTTTTTACTGTTTAAATATATAGTTGATTAGAAGAGAGTAACTTGTGACTTATTGAAGAATTTTTTTGTATCCAAATAGACGTGATCCAGAGCTGATAGCACGTATTATTTCACAACTTTCAACAGCAAGCTCCTGTGGTAAGTACTATAACAACTTTCTGTCTGGTTTCATAAAGTATTGCTTAATTTTATCTTATCCAGCCAAGTTAGACATTTTAAAATATTGTGATATTTCTAAGAATAATGATATTCTTCCCTGTAAAATCAAAATGACATTGAAATTATAAAAACCAAAGACTTTCTGGATAGAAGACTTCATTTCACTAAAGAAAACAGTAAATAAATATAATGGCCGATACATATAATTTATTCTTCAAGGAAAGATTTCTTTTTACTTTAATCACAATTGCGTAATATAAAAAAGCCTTAAAATGGTTGTTGGGTCTGCTCAATCTGTGGATTTTATTTTGTTGTTGGTTTACCTCCATCATTTCAGTTAATATTTTGCAACAAGTATCTAAATCTTACGGATAAAGATTATCAAAGATATTAGAAAATATTGAATATTAGCAAAGTTATTGATAATTTACTCTGTAAACTATTAAACAAGTTCAGTAAAAGTTTAATTTTTCAGACTAGTATCCATTCTTGACGTACCTGTATACTTACCTTCTTTTAGTGTATGTAACTTTGGCATTTTGCCATCACAAATTTTCAAATGGCAAAATACCAATTAAAATGTAATATTGATCAAAACTTTCTATGATTACTCTTTAATAAACAAAATTGAATGCATTTTGTTTTTTCTAGGTATTTCATGAGTAAAATTAGAGTAAATGGTATTGTGATATAAGTGTTTTTAGGAAAATATTTTAACAGCTTCTTAAAGAAATCTGAAATTTTATAACTGTTTTAAAAGTTTTGTACGATACTTGTTTTTAAAAAAAGGTTATTTAACAGAAACGGTATAAGTCTTTACACTTGAATAATCTATGACTGTTGTAGGGCACTACATTAAAAGCTGAGTGCTTGCAATAAACATTTCTGTTTCTGTAAATAACCTATTGTTGAATTTGTAATAAACTCATAAAGCCTAAAATTTTGCTGTAATAAAATTACCTGAAATAAGACGTTAAGAACGTCATCTGTGTTAAACTATAATAGTAGTATGATTGATTTATAAGAGAATATAACTATTTGGAACTCATAAATGAAACATTAGTTACAGTGTCTGTTAGTGAGTTACTTTTAGTAATATGATACTGATGATTGAAATAACATTTACTTTTATCGAGGGGAATTTTTTAATGTTGAGTATTTTATTGTACATATTTTAACTTCTGGAAACCATAAAAAAAGGAGTATTTAGCAGGATAACAAGACTGAGGTGAAAGTCACTTTAAAGTTTAGTGCAAATATTATTTGTTTAGTAACTTAAAACAGAAGTATTTTATAATATGCTATGTCACATGTTGGAGATACAGTTTTACAGAAATTGTTTAATTAATAATACTTGTTTTTGTGTCTAATGTTCTGTGAGGTTTTATTACTTAATTCATAACTAGTTCTTATAAAGACTGTCTATTCTGTGATAATTTTCATATGAATTGCTTTAATATTTTTAAGCTTTTTTTCACTTGTTGATTTTATTTCAGAGATTTCTGTTCCAACTTTATCTGAGCATCCTATTAGTCATAAAGGAGAGATTAACAGAGACACTGTAGAAAAGATACTAGTAGAGTTAATTAAAGAAGAATTGCAGAACAGCTCTTCATCATCAGAAAAATTATCTCCTGAAAATGAAGAAGAAAATTATTCCTATACTTCTATTGAAAACCATTCACTGGAAAGAGCAAACACTTCTTCATCTTCAGTTAAAGAAGTATGCTAACAATTACTTTGTTTTATGAATACACCATCTTCAGTTAAAGAAATATGCTAACAATTACTTTGTTTTATGAATGAAGTATGTTTTTATTTTAGAAATTATTTAAAATATTTGTATATGACCATATGTGTATGCTATTAAATTAAGTATAGAATATTTTTTAAGGGCCCTAAGCAAGACTAGTTGAGTCTGGAATAACTTTGAATAAAATACTTTTATATATTCAGGATTTTATTGTTATTATTTTTTACTATAAAGTGTTTATAAAATTCTTAAGAGCATAGTAAGTATTTGAAGATGTTAAGCTTGTTTTCTTTGTTTGAATTAATAATAGACTGTTTGTATTTGATTTTGTAATCTTTTTGTTTTGGTATATCTTTCAGGAAGATAAGTTCTTTGTCTCTGTTACTAGATTATCAACTATTTGAAACCTTTTATAACCAACTAGAATTTAAATAGATTTAATTTTTTATTACCAATTGGGTTACTTTTAGGAAAGGGTGGGGGAACTAATGATAGATGTAGATGAAACTTAAATTTAAACTAAAATTTTCACAACTACCTTATATAGTCAAGATTCTTTTTTTTTATGAAATTTATGCCACCCTAAATTGAAAGTTTATTAACTTTGTTATTGATATATCTGGTTCAATATATCTGCATATTAGTAGGCTTGAAACACTGTTTTAAAATCCTCAATGTTTAATGCCTCTGTTATATAAGTAATGTTTTTTAGCATGCCAAATTAAGGAGCTGACTTTTTATGGTCCACACCCCATCATGCCAAACTAAGGAGTTGACTTTTTATGGTTCACACCCCATTAACACCAATATTATTTATTCTGATAAGAGTTGGTGGTGGATTAGTTCAAAGTTAGGGACAGTAGGCATAGCCTTTCTGTTGCTTTGCACAAAATTCCATAAAACAAACAACTAAAAAATATGTTAGATATTAAACTGTAAATATTAATTCTTATAAGTACTTTGGAAAGACTCGTAGAGGTGAGCCAGTAAAAATCACTACATGACATACTATAGTGGCAGTAGAACAAGTTAAATTTCCATTTGACCTACCTCACATTCAATAATATATAGTATCAGGTTTCCATATGCCACCTTTAAGGGAAAGTTTATTTTCTAACTTTATCATTTATAAAGTTTATTTTAAAAATCATGATATAGCATGTATATAGTTAACTTAGTTTATTGTGGGAAACAGGTTTTGCTGACCTCAATACCATTTCATGACCAGATCTGTTTAGTGAAAATTAAAATTTCTCACTCATTGTATTCTATAGAGGATTTTGTATGTTAGTTGCCTCACAATTTGGCTATTTGAATGGGAAATCCTTGTTAGAGGAAGGATTAACTGGCTATAAGAGAATAGTAAGAAAATACTGTATTTTTATCCTTTTAGAATTTATTCATTTTATCATGACTGAGGTTGTTACTCTAAAAATACTATTGGAAATTCATTTCTAAAATGCAACATAACGGAATACTTCTTGACACTAATGACGATTCCATTTTGCCAATTAATGGAGTTTCATTGGAAAATTTAACTTTTTTTTTTTAAAAAGAAAAGAAAAATGTTTGTATTATATAACATACTTTAAATGTGATACATAAGAAAATTTAGGTATTGATGTTTATCTACAATGTTTGAATGTTGGAATTATTTGAAGCATAAACTTAATTACTTTGTAAACTACTCATCACGTTTTGTTTTAGAGTTCAGAATTCTTAGAATTTTGTTCATAACAGTAAAAATAAAGAAGTTTAGTATATGGGAAGTAGAAATACTAATTTTTTGGTTTGTAGCTGGCTTTATAGTTGTAGTTATTAAACTTGAAGCCACAACAACTTCTCATCTACATCTTTTGCGTAATGAAAAACCAACAGTTCTCATGTTTTGCTCAGCACAATTGATTATTTAACACTACTTAATAAAAGATTTTTATTGTGATGATGTTAGGCATTAGTAATTCTTAAAAATTGGTGGTTGAAAGGGTAACAAGGCCTGTTGTTAATATTTACATTTTGTAAAGCAATTTTTCCCCAGCACACAGTGAAATAAATGCTTTTTGTTACTTCTTTATAACTTATTATTCTCATATTCATTACACTGTAAAATAAAAAATGTGGAGTTATTTGTTTCTGTTTTTTAGTATTATATTCAAATTTAATTTATTCTTCGTTTTAAGCCTTTATCTTGCACTTTGGAGAAGCTAAAGGATACAAACCCTTCTGTAGCTATACAGACATCGATACAAGAGAGTCAGGCTAGAGTGTTAACTCCAGAAGCTTCAGATCAGACTGTACTATCATCAGGTACTAATGCTTTCTTTATTAATACATGTAGCCTATACTGTTTTTTATATTTGAAAATAGCTACAGAAATTTTCCCAAGGTAAAAGAAAAAAGTACTAAGATAGCAAAGAGTTGCTGGGTCACAATGATCAGCTTAGAATAATTCAACCAACTTAATATTCGTAATGTGTGTGTGTGTGTATATATATATATATGTATATATATATATATATATAAAATGCCTTTTTGTTTTATTCATAATGTGCAATATCAGTTTATTTTTACATGATCCATTAGTAACACAACATGTGACCTATATCATTTTGAGAAGCACATTTGAGTAAAATATGGGAAAATTACACGATTTGAATAATTAAAGTTTTAGGCATATTTGTTTTACCCTAAATAAATGCTAGAGATCTAAAGCTTACATTAGCTACACGTATAAATGCTAGAGATCTAAAGCTTACATTAGCTACACGTATAAATGCTAGAGATCTAAAGCTTACATTAGCTACACGTATAAATGCTAGAGATCTAAAGCTTACATTAGCTATATGTATACACGATAGAGATCTAAAGCGTACATTAGCTACACGTATAAATGCTAGAGATCTAAAGCTTACATTAGCTACATGTATACACGATAGAGATCTAAAGCTTACATTAGCTACACGTATAAATGCTAGAGATCTAAAGCTTACATTAGCTACACGTACAATTGCTGCTTTAGTTAATAGACTTAAATAATTGATGATTCTAACAAAAACTTTATTTTTGTCAGATTTTGGCTAGAACATCCCATATGTATATGGAATTTATTTTAGTCATAATTCAATAGAATTAGCTAAAAACTAAACATTTAGTAGAATTATGAAGTTTTAAACTTTCAGACTAAGAATCAGTCATTGTTTATACATTAATTGTTGAGAATAGTGATAATCCTAAAGTAATTACTAAGAAATAGCTAGGAAAAACCAAAACAGTATAAGAAGAAAGTCCCACATATTAACTACATTCACCTGGTAAAGAAGTATAAGAAGGTAAGACTCAAAGACTGAAAAAATCATTCAGATTAACAAATTTTCTGAATAAGTCTGAGAAGTTTATAAAAACATCATGAAATGAATTTTGACAGACAGTTCCAAGTAGAAATTATTAGATATTATATTTAAAGAGTTGTTTTGAATTTTTTAGAGTTTGATAATAAAATTAATTATCAGATTTATCAATGAAACAATATTTATGTTGGTTGTTTAGTTTTGGCGTGACACAGTCTGGTGAAGAGTGTAAGTTTAGAAAACTCCTGTGTAACAGCATTAATTAGCATTATAAACAGTACGATGTTATTCGATGACAAGGAACTCGCTTTGAGACTAATAATTTGCTGTTATGTTAAACTTATATTAAAGTTTTTCTTCATTACCCATTCAAGCCGTCTCCAACCATTATTAGTATCATGTTATGATTTCATATAACAATTTGT